ATATGTTGTAATGTGTTTATTGGTTGTTCTGAAAAACCCTGTGGGTGGTACTATGTGTGGAAAACCTGAATAAAAGATGGCCCTTTGGTGCCAAGTAATACAGATCTTCTTGACTAGTGATGGAAGGCATCCTACTGGAAGGCATCCATTTTAAATTCATTCTCAAGCTGCATGCTTAGTGAGAGGAGGGAAAGTGTAGCTGCTGTTGATTAGATAGGGAAATGCATAGCTAGGTTAGGGTTAGGGTATGCTTTTTTTTTTTTTCTGTGTAATGTAATTGCAGTTAGTTGTCTGCCACTGCTGCCAACTTCTGTGTCAGGCTCACAGTGGATACTGTGCCCATTTGCCCAGTCAGTGCCACCACTCATATCTGGTGTCACAATAGCTTGTATTTAAAAACAAAAAACTTTTTTCACTGTTATAGATTGAATAGCAGTCAGTGTCCTTAAAGCGGGTGTGTCAGGCTCACAGTGGATACAGTGCCCATTTGCCCAGTCAGTGCCACTCACTCATATCTGGTGTCACAATAGCTTGCATTTAAAAACAAAAAACTTTTTTCACTGTTATTGATTGAATAGCAGTCAGTGTCCTTAAAGCGGGTGTGTTACGCTAACAGTGGATACGGTGCCCAGTGCCACCACTCACTGGTGTCACAATAGCTTGGATTTAAAAACAAAAAACTTTTTTCACTGTTATAGATTGAATAGCAGTCAGGTGTCTGCCACTGCTGCCAGCTTCTGTGTCAGGCTCACAGTGCATACTGTGCCCATTTCCCCAGTCAGTGCCACCAATTACATCTGGTGTCACAATAGCTTGGATTTAAAAACAAAAAACTTTTTTCACTGTTATAGACTGAATAGCAGTCAGTGTCCTTAAAGCGGGTGTGTTACGCTAACAGTGGATACGGTGCCCAGTGCCACCACTCACTGGTGTCATAATAGCTTGGATTTAAAAACAAAAAACTTTTTTCACTGTTATAGATTGAATAGCAGTCAGTGTCCTTTAAGCGGGTGTGTTACGCTAACAGTGGATACGGTGCCCAGTGCCACCACTCACTGGTGTCACAATAGCTTGCATTTAAAAACAAAAAACTTTTTTCACTGTTATAGATTGAATAGCAGTCAGTGTCCTTAAAGCGGGTTTGTTAAGCTCACAGATGATACGGTGCCCAGTGCCATCACTCACTGGTGTCACAATAGCTTGCATTTAAAAACAAAAAACTTTTTTCACTGTTATAGATTGAATAGCAGTCAGTGTCCTTAAAGCGGGTGTTTTACGCTAACAGTGGATACGGTGTCTAGTGCCACCACTCACTGGTGTCATAATAGCTTGCATTTAAAAACAAAAAACTTTTTTCACTGTTATAGATTGAATGGCAGTCAGTGTCCTTAAAGCGGGTGTGTTACGCTAACAGTGGATACGCTGACCAGTGCCACCAATTAGATCTGCTGTCACAATAGCTTGGATTTAAAAAAAACAAAACTCTTTTTTCACTGTTATAGATTGAATAGCAGTCAGTGTCATTAAAGCGGGTGTGTTACGCTAACAGTGGATACGGTGACCAGTGCCACCACTTAGATCTGGTGACACAAAGCTTGGATTTAAAAACCAAAAACTTTTTTCACTGTTATAGATTGAATAGCAGTCAGTGTCCTTAAAGCGGGTGTGTTAAGCTCACAGTGGATACGGTGCCCAGTGCCACCACTCACTGGTGTCACAATAGCTTGTATTTAAAAACAAAAAACTTGGGGGGCGGAGCCAACCGCAGACCATGCTAGACGTGTGAAAGCAGAGCTCCGGAGGGAATTCAGGGCAATCCGACTACATCGGGACTCCTACTAATCATGGGACACCCCAAAAAGAGCGTCACACATCCTCACCCTCCAACGAAACAACCTGGAGGCAAACCCAGCTCTCTGAGTAAGTTTTTCAAAGACAACTCCGCACAACCTGGCGACGAGATAGGCCCAAAGATGGCGCCGGATCCTGCCTCCGAGCCCTCCTCACCTCCTTTGAGCCCGGCGGTCTCAGACGGTTCCTCAACGACTGCCGACACGGATATTAAAGATTTAATCAAAAACCTGCCCACCAAACAAGACTTTGCAGTCATGCTTAAACAACTTGAATCAACACTTCAGAAAAAATTAGACAACATGGCGGCGGATGTGAGAAAAGTGGAAGGCCGAGTTGAGACCCTGGAAGATAATCAAGACCTTGTACTTACCCAAGTGAAACAGGTTCAACATACCTTGGCTTCACACAATACTCAAATGGCAATGTTGTACCGCTCACTTGATGATCTCGATAATAGAGGTCGCCGGAATAATTTGCAAATTAAAGGGCTCCCAGAGGCTAATGAAGAGAACCTCCGCCATCATACTGCAGGAGCTGTTCATCCTTCTCCTTCAGAGAGACCCCTCCACTACCATCTTATTTGACAGGGCGCACAGAGCGCTTAAAGCCAGAGGCATGTCTTCTGATACCCCTCGAGATGTAATTTGCCGTCTCCATTATTATGGAGTAAAAAAAGAGATACTTGGGGAATTACGAAAAACATCATAGCCTCTTTTATTCCATGAAGCCCAGATCCAAATATTCCCAGATCTCTCCTGGATGACGCTACAAGCAAGGCGAACCCTCAAACCGTTAACAGATCTCCTCCGATCCAGGAACATTAAGTACAGATGGGGATTCCCTTTTTCCCTGACGGCTACTCACAACGGAATAACAGCTTCAGTGACTACAACAGCAGATATTGCAACCTTCACGTCAGCCTTGGAATTACCAGAGGTTCATATTCCTGACTGGTATGGGCCGGTTCCCAACCAGCCTAACTTCCAACGGTCTCAGAAGGCTAGAGGACAAACCCCGTCTAAACGCCGCCGGAACGATTATTCTTTGACGCAAAGAAATCTGCAATCAACACGGGATGACCTACTTCAACTGTAGCTGTATATAAGGATAGCTCTACAAGCAACTCAGATTCGCAACTCAGCTATTTAAATCCCCTGGATCTACCTGTATGACAGGTGATAGACACGTATTCCACTTGGAAGAAAAGGCTTGCTAGATAAGACATTATCCCCATAACATCGAGGCTTGGCCTCCTCCTAGCGACTCCTCAGCGACTTTCTTCAATGCTATCATATACTCCGGCAATCCTCAACTCATGGACTCTCCACACTCTCTGGAAGAATGTTCAAACATTGAGACTCGCTGCTGACAAGACCGGACGGGAGATTCCCGGTGATGGTAACTTCCGATATTTTAACACCAAGGACAGTCAGGGAGTGTGGAACCACAGGGTTATCTCCGGGGCCTTGTTCTAGGGCCCTGGTGCTAGCCCTCTGGACCGGGTCCCGATTGCTCTCCACCCTGGCTTTTCATTTTTCATGTTTTATTATTCCTTGATACCCTACAACTTATAAAGCTCTTCTCTGTCTTTAGGACCCTTCTCGAAAGTGTACCCATATAGGAAAAATTTATGTTATACATAATAACAAAAAAAAAAAAAATCTTATTATTTACTCCCCTTGATATGCTCTGTATGGGTCCTCTCTCCTGATAGGTTTTGTTGGGGGTGAATTGGGAGGAGAGATTGGAGAAGTAGCTTAAGCCTCTTATGTTAGTGCACACCTGAGTTACCAATTGAGAATCCGCTATTTAGGAGGATTTACCTCTTGGTCCAGATTGCGTAATTGCTCCATAACTACTAATTGCTACAACCAGACAGAGATAACTAGAGTCCCTAACAAACTCATTACTCGTTTCCCGATTTTCACACTTTTTGACTACTCTTCCAGTAGGATTGCCTGCTTCCCTTCCAAGGCGTGCAAGACCTTGCTATAACACCACCCCCAAACATATTGTATAGACACCTGAAGCTGAGCCTTCGACCCCAGCGGTGCCCTTTTCCTTTCCTGGTAGTGAGTATTCTCCAGGGTTTACCACCGACAGAAGGGGCCCTTTCAATACGTCACTAGACTCATACTCAATTGCTAGCTCCAGGTGACTTTCAAGGTTTTGTTAATAGTTTGTTTGGTTTGTTTGATTTTGATTTTGATTTATTGTTTTTTCTTATCTTTTATTGTACCTATTTAATTTAGGTCACTGTGTAACCCTTAATTTTGCTACTCACCCACTCTAACCGTGGGTAGAATCACGCCGAGGCGGTACACGTATACATTACTACCTTAAGATTCACTTACAACAATTTCCCTCTATACACACTATATCTTGGGTGCTTTGCCATGGCTTCCATCCGTATTGTCACGTTGAATGCTAGGGGATTAAACTCACCACATAAGCGTGCCCTCGCTCTGCGAGAGCTTCATCATCTGAAGGCAGATGTTGCGTTCCTTCAAGAAACGCACTTTAAAGCAGACGCAGCTCCGTCCCTACGCAACAATCATTATCCGATTGGCTACTGCAGTAACTTTGGGGACTCCAAGTCCAAGGGCGTAGCAATTCTGGTCGGGGCTAGGACGCCTTTTACATACACATCTCACCATTCCTTTGCAGACGGAAGGCTACTAATAGTTATAGGCAAAATTGGCAGCACTTTGGTGACATTCGCCAATGTATATCTTCCTAATACGAACCAACACCATTACTTGTGCAAGTACCTCAACATTCTGGAGAAGGTTGGAGAGGGGATTATCATAGTGGGAGGGGACCTAAACATTTCCTTAGATTCAGACTTAGATACAACCTCCACTTACACAAAATACAATGCTACGTCCAGGGCTAAAATCACACAACTCCTTGATAGACATCATTTGTTAGATGGCTGGCGGGTGACGCACCCATCATCCCGAGATTACTCATACTTTTCCTCGGTCAAACAGACCTATTCGAGAATAGATATGATTTTCTTGCACCACAGATACCTTCATCTCATCCAAAATTGCACATACGGGCCTATCACGTGGTCTGACCACGGACCTTTAACCATGACAATTTTAATTCCAAATCTCTCCCCCACACGTGCGCAATGGAAGTTAAATGATACACTCCTTAATGACCCCGCATACATTACCCAATTACAGGAAAATCTAACCAACTACTTTGCAGAGAATAACACACTAGCAGTTTCACCCACTCAAATTTGGGAGGCACACAAAGCCGTACTTAGGGGACACATTATAGCTTTGGCCTCTAAACATAAAAAAGCCAGAGAACATCAAATAGTCACTCTCACTGAGGAGATCAGACACTTAGAAACTGCACATAAAAAATCCATGTCACTAGAGAACTATAAACAATTATTAGATAAACGATCCGCACTCCAATCCCTGCTGAACATGAAAATTCAAAGATTTCTCCTACTCTCCAAACATAAATTCTACACTCGGGGCGGAAAATGTGGACGATTGCTAGCTAGAGCAATTCAGAAAGAAAAACAACAAACATACATCACCCAAATAAAAACTTCCAGAGATACACCAACCCATCTTCTACCAGAAATATTACAGGAGTTTCACTCTTACTACTCGTCCCTCTACAACCTCCGACCCCAGCCACCCGACCCAAACGATGTACACAAATTTTTGACAGAGAGACTAAAACATACAATCCCACCCAATGCTAGACAAATCCTAGATGAGCCAATTTCCCCAGAAGAAGTGGCTTGGGCCATAAAGCACTTACCCGTAGGAAAAAGTCCAGAACCAGATGGATTCACATCCAAATACTTTAAAACATTCTCATCGACTCTGATCAAACCCTTTCTTGCTGCGTTTAATTCCTTGTCTCAGGGACACAGTCTGCCACGTGATACGTTAGAAGCCCACATTACTCTCATTCCCAAACCAGGTAAAGATCCCATGGAATGTAGTAGCTATCGTCCTATTTCCTTGATCAATGTAGATTTAAAGATTTTTACTAAGATACTTGCCACACGACTAAGGCCACACCTGCAGGGATTAGTCCACCCAGACCAGGCCGGATTTGTGCCAGGCAGAGAGGCCAAAAATAATACAACAAAACTCTTGAATATTATATACCATGCTAATAAACAAACATCACAATGCTTGGCCCTCACTATTGACGCTGAGAAAGCGTTTGACAGGGTGGACTGGTCCCTGATATCGGCCACAGTACAAGCCATGGGATTTGGTCCAAACTGGCAAAAATGGCTGTCTGCTCTCTACTCTAAACCCGGAGCAAAGATAAGGGTAAATGGACAACTCTCTAATACAGTACATATCTCTAATGGTACAAGGCAAGGGTGTCCATTATCTCCCCTCCTTTTTATCTTAACAATGGAGCCTTTCTTGCAAGGCATTAGAGATAACACACATATCCAAGGGATACAAATAGCTGGGCAGGAATACAAAATTTCCGCTTTTGCGGACGACCTCCTCTTCACTTTGAGAAACCCAGAAACATCTCTGCCACATTTAATGCAAGAAATAGATTTCTATGGACAAGTGTCCAATTACAAGGTAAACGTCAGCAAAAGTGAGATACTCCAACTCAATATCTCCAATGATACTAAGCTCATACTCCAACAGAAATATCATTTTCATTGGCCTCCATCCTCAGTGAAATATCTGGGAGTACATCTATCGGCTTCCTTAGATAAAATATACGACATAAACTTTCCCCCATTATTGGCTACTGTTACCAAAGATCTCAAAAACTGGGATAAACCTCACTTTTCATGGCTTTGTAGGGTCCATATTTTAAAAATGGCTATTCTGCCCAGATTTCTTTATCTTTTACAAACACTGCCCATAAACATACCACATAGCTTTTTTACGAAGGCTAAACAAATTTTTACCTCTTATTTATGGGCGGGTAAACGCCATAGATTACCTCATTCAACCCTCACGAGACACAAGTCGCAAGGAGGTTTGGGGGTCCCAGATATCAAACGCTACCGTAATGCCATACTTTTAGCCCGTGTTTATGACTGGATAGACCCCCAAACCCAAAAACAATGGAAGCAGATAAAAACCACAAGTTTCACAACAAAACCAGAAACTATACCATGGCACGAGCCCAATACAAATATACTTCATCCAGGCCATGAAGACCACCCCACTATCACTCCCACCTTAAAAGAATGACACCGACTCAGACAAAATAAATATATCTCCCCCCATCCATCTCCACTCTTACCGATTACGGGGAACCCCAACTTTCCTCCAGGCTTGCAGCCAGAAGCATTTCAAGTCTTTGAAAACCTACAGGGTCACCTACATTTAAATGATGTAATTAATGAAAATGGTATTCTTCCCCTAACTGCAATTGTATGCACCCCTACACATTCTATCATGCAAAAATTTAGATATGCACAACTTTCGCACTATATCCAGATGCAGCCAGATCTGAGGCGGGGATGTAGACCCTTAACTACATTTGAGTCTCTAGCCACGTCTAGAACCTTACAAAAGAAACACATAACCACTTTCTATAACTTATTACAAGCACAAGACAACGAACAAATTCCGACATACACCAAAGCTTGGGAGAACGACTTGGGGATTACTTTAACCCAGTCAGAGTGGGGCAAAATATTCACCAACATTTCTAAGTCCTCCATCAATACTACTTTACAAGAGAGCAACTATAAACGAATCTCTAGATGGCACCTAGCCCCGACCAGATCCTATAGATTTTCCCCCAACACCTCCAGAGTTTGTTGGAGATGCACAACCGAAATAGGATCTCCGGGTCATCTATGGTGGACGTGCATCATTATACAAAGCTATTGGGAAAAAATATGCTCCCTCATCAATATCATCACGGGCTATGAGTTACCCACCTCACCTGAAACACTTGTTTTTATGCTCTATCCCTCTCCACTACCGAAATCCACTCGAGTCTTAATAAACCACATGCTCACAGCGGCAAATGGTTTAATTCCTACCAAATGGAAACAGAGTAACCCTCCAACTATTAGAGAATGGTTAGCAAAGGTAGAGGCCATACGACAAATGGAAGAACTCTCCTACTCCTTAAATGGCACATATGATAAATATGTTTCTGCATGGTCACCATGGGATAAATTTATCAAAGATTACAAACCCGATAATATGTCCACGCCTGATGGCGTACATACCAATTCGCGGAATTCGCGACTCGACCCGGTATGTACGTAACCAACCTCTTCCCTGGGGCCAGAGCCGACCACTCAGGACCCCGAGGCTAATACTGACCCCAATTGGCGGTCGGGCGAGCAGGCGGTAGCGAGGCACTCAGTGCTTCCTCTTCAGATCCTTCGCACCTTAATGCGGGCGAGGAAAGTGCGTCATCTTCCGGCGGCATCGGCGTCTTGAGGGGGCGAGCACTGAGTGCTCACTCTATACCAAACCGACCCTTCAAAACAACAGCACCACTGGACCCCAGGGAATCCCCCCAGCACTCCAAAAGGTAAGGAGGCTGGGGGGGATTATATTAAAAAAAAAAAAAATCATGTGTGAGTGTTAGTGTGTGTGTGTGAGTGTTAGTGTGTGTGAGTGTTAGTGTGTGTGTGTGTGTGTGAGTGTTAGTGTGTGTGAGTGTTAGTGTGTGTGAGTGTTAGAGTGAGTGTTAATGTGTGTGTGTTAGTGTGTGTGAGTGTTAGAGTGAGTGTTAGAGTGTGTGTGAGTGTTAGAGTGAGTGTTAGTGTGTGTCTGCTAGTGAGTGTTAGTGTGAGTGTTAGTGTGTTAGTGTGTGTGTCTGCTAGTGAGTGTCAGTGAGTGTGTTACTGTGTGTGTCTTACTGAGTGTGTGTGTGTTAGTGAGTCTGTTTGATGTTTGTTAG